GAGAGGGGAATAGATGGTGAGACACATACAGAGAGAGGGGGACAGACAGAGACACATGCAGAGAGAGGGGAATAGACAGAGACACATGCAGAGAGAGGGGGAATAGACAGAGACATACAGAGAGAGGGGAATAGACAGAGACACATGAGAGGGAAGAGACAGAGACACATACAGAGAGGGGAATAGACAGAGACACATACAGAGAGAGGGGAATAGACAGAGACACATACAGAGAGAGGGGGAATAGACAGAGACACATACAGAGAGGGGGAATAGACAGAGACACATACAGAGAGAGGGGGGAATAGACAGAGACATACAGAGAGAGGGGAATAGACAGAGACACATACAGAGAGAGGGGGAATAGACAGAGACACATACAGAGAGAGGGGAATAGACAGAGACACATACAGAGAGAAAGAGAGGGGAATAGACAGAGACACATACAGAGAGAGGGGGAATAGACAAAAAGACACATGCAGAGAGAGGGGAATAGACAGAGACACATACAGAGAGAGGGGAATAGACAGAGACACATGCAGAGAGAGGGGGAATAGACAGAGACACATACAGAGAGAGGGGGGGAATAGACAGAGACACATACAGAGAGAGGGGGGGAATAGACAGACACATACAGAGAGAGGGGGAATAGACATATACATACAGAGAGAGGGGGAATAGACAGAGACACATGCAGAGAGAGGGGGAATAGACAGAGACACATACAGAGAGAGGGGAAGACAGACACATAGAGAGAGGGGAATAGACAGAGACATACAGAGAGAGGGGAATAGACAGAGACACATACAGAGAGAGGGGGGAATAGACAGAGACACATACAGAGAGGGGGAATAGACAGAGACACATGCAGAGAGAGGGGAATAGACAGAGACACATACAGAGAGAGAGGGGAATAGACAGAGACACATACAGAGAGAGGGAACAGGCTAGAATACAGAGAGAGGGGAATAGACAGAGACACATACAGAGAGAGGGGGAATAGACAGAGACACATACAGAGAGAGGGGGAAGGACAGAGACACATACAGAGAGAGGGGCTAGACAGAGACACATACAGAGAGAGGGGGAATGGACAGAGACACATGCAGAGAGAGGGGGAATAGACAGAGACACATACAGAGAGAGGGGGGAATAGACAGAGACATACAGAGAGAGGGAGAATAGACAGAGACACATACACAGAGAGAGGGGAATAGACAGAGACACATACAGAGAGAGGGGAATAGACAGACACATACAGAGAGGGAATAGACAGAGACACATACAGAGAGAGGGGGAATAGACAGAGACACACATGCAGAGAGAGGGGAATAGACAGAGACACATACAGAGAGAGGGGAATAGACAGACACATACAGAGAGGGGGAATAGACAGAGACACATACAGAGAGAGGTGGGGAATAGACAGGAGACACATACAGAGAGAGGGGAATAGACAGAGACACATACAGAGAGAGGGGGAATACAGAGACACATACAGAGAGAGGGGAATAGACAGAGAGAAACATACAGAGAGGGGAATAGACAGAGACACATACAGAGAGAGGGAGAATAATAGAGACATACAGAGAGAGGGGAATAGACAGAGACACATACAGAGAGGGAGAATAGACAGAGACACATACAGAGAGAGGGGAATAGACAGAGACACATACAGAGAGAGGGAGAATAGACAGAGACACATACAGAGAGGGAGAATAGACAGAGACACACAGAGAGAGGGAGAATAGACAGAGACACATACAGAGAGAGGGGAATAGACAGAGACACATACAGAGAGAGGGGGAATAGACAGAGACACATACAGAGAGAGGGGAATAGACAGAGACACATACAGAGAGAGGGAGAATAGACAGAGACACATACAGAGAGAGGGAGAATATAGACAGAGACATACAGAGAGAGGGGAATAGACAGAGACACATACAGAGAGAGGGGAATAGACAGGAGACACATACAGAGAGAGGGAGAATAGACAGACACAATATACAGAGAGAGGGGGGAATAGACAGAGACACATACAGAGAGAGGGGAATAGGACAGACACATACAGAGAGAGGGGGAATAGACAGAGACACATACAGAGAGAGGGAGAATAGACAGAGACATACAGAGAGAGGGGGGAATAGACAGAGACACATACAGAGAGAGGGGGGAATAGACAGAGACACATACAGAGAGGGAGAATAGACAGAGACACATACAGAGAGAGAGGGGAATAGACAGAGACACATACAGAGAGAGAGGGGAACAGGACAGAGACACATACAGAGAGAGGGAATAATAGACAGAGACATACAGAGAGAGAGGGGGGAATAGACAGAGACACATACAGAGAGAGGGAGAATAGACAGAGACACATACAGAGAGGGGGAAGGACAGAGACACAGCAGAGAGAGGGGGAATAGGACAGGAGACACATACAGAGAGAGGGAGAATAGACAGAGACACATACAGAGAGAGGGGAATAGACAGAGACATACAGAGAGAGGGAGAATAGACAGAGACACATACAGAGAGGGGGAATAGACAGAGACACATACAGAGAGAGGGGGAATAGACAGAGACATACAGAGAGGGAGAATAGACAGAGACACATACAGAGAGAGGGGAATAGACAGAGACACATACAGAGAGAGGAGAATAGACAGAGACACATACAGAGAGAGGGGGAATAGACAGAGACACATACAGAGAGAACAGTGACAGACACATACAGCAGGAGAATAGACAGAGACACACAGAGAGAGGGGAATAGACAGAGACACATACAGAGAGGGGAATAGACAGAGACACATACAGAGAGAGGGAGAATAGACAGAGACACATACAGAGAGAGGGGGAATAGACAGAGACACATACAGAGAGTAGGGGAATAGACACAGACACATACAGAGAGAGGGGGAAGGACAGACACATGCTACAGAGAGAGGGGGAATAGACAGGGCAATATAAAGAGAGAGGGGGAATAGATAGAGACACATACAGAGAGAGGGGGAATAGACAGAGACACATACAGAGAGAGGGGAATAGACAGAGACACATACAGAGAGAGGGGGAATAGACAGAGACATACAGAGAGAGGGGGGAATAGACAGAGACACATACAGAGAGAGGGGGAAATAGACAGAGACACATACAGAGAGAGGGAATAGACAGAGACACATGCAGAGAGAGGGGAATAGACAGAGAGACACATACAGAGAGAGGGAGAATAGACAGAGACACATGCAGAGAGAGGGAGAATAGACAGGAGACACATACAGAGAGAGGGGGAATAGGACAGAGACACATACAGAGAGAGGGAGAATAGACAGAGACACATACAGAGAGAGGGGAATAGACAGACACATACAGGAGAGAGGGGAATAGACAGAGACACATACAGAGAGAGGGGGAATAGACAGACACATACAGAGAGAGGGGGAATAGACAGAGACACATACAGAGAGAGAGAGGGGGAATAGACAGACACATACAGAGAGAGGGGGAATAGACAGAGACACATACAGAGAGAGGGAGAATAGACAGACACATACAGAGAGAGGGGAATAGACAGAGACATACAGAGAGAGGGGGAATAGACAGAGACACATACAGAGAGAGGGGAATAGACAGAGACACACATACAGAGAGAGGTGGGGAATAGACAGAGACACATGCAGAGAGAGGGGAATAGACAGAGACACATACAGAGAGAGGGAGAATGACAGAGACACACATACAGAGAGAGGGAGAATAGACAGAGACACATACAGAGAGAGGGGAATAGACAGAGACACATACAGAGAGAGGGGAATAGACAGAGACACATACAGAGAGAGGGGAATACAGAGACACATACAGAGAGAGGGGAATAGACAGAGACACATACAGAGAGAGGGAGAATAGACAGAGACATACAGAGAGAGGGGGAATAGACAGAGACATACAGAGAGAGGGAATAGACAGACACATACAGAGAGAGGGGAATAGACAGAGACACATACAGAGAGGGGAATAGACAGAGACACATACAGAGAGAGGGGAACAGGACAGAGACACACATACAGAGAGAGGGGGGGAGACAGAGACACATACAGAGAGAGGGGGGAATAGACAGAGACACATACAGAGAGAGGAGGAATAGACAGAGACACATGAGAGAGGGGGAATAGACAGAGACACATGCAGAGAGAGGGGGAATAGACAGAGACACATACAGAGAGAGGGGGAATAGACAGAGACACATACAGAGAGAGGGGGAATAGACAGAGACACATACAGAGAGAGGGGAATAGACAGAGACACATACAGAGAGAGGGAGAACAGATAGAGACACATACACAGAGTAGAGGGAGAATAGACAGAGACACATACAGAGAGAGGGAGAATAGACAGAGACACATACAGAGAGAGGGGGGAATAGACAGAGACACATACAGAGAGAGGGGAATAGACAGAGACACATACAGAGAGAGGGAGAATAGACAGAGACACATACAGAGAGAGGGGGAATAGACAGAGACACATACAGAGAGAGGGGGAATAGACAGAGACACATACAGAGAGAGGGAGAATAGACAGAGACACATACAGAGAGAGGGAGAATAGACAGAGACACATACAGAGAGAGGGAGAATAGACAGAGACACATACACAGAGAGAGGGGGAATAGACAGACACACAGAGAGAGGGGGAATAGACAGAGACACATACAGAGAGAGAGGGGGAATAGACAGAGACACATACAGAGAGAGGGGGAATAGACAGAGACACATACAGAGAGAGGGGGAATAGACAGAGACACATACAGAGAGAGGGAGAATAGACAGAGACACATACAGAGAGAGGGAGAAAAGGGGGCATAGACAGAGACATCATACAGAGAGAAGGGGGAAGGTGGGGGGAAGGGAGGAGCAGTGAAGCAACAAGGATGTTCCACGATGCACGTCTTGCATGAGCCCCGCCTGGGTGGGTGTGTCCAGGGTGAGGGCCTGCTGGAGGAGCTCGGGCACAGTGTATATAAGTGCCGCAGCGGCCGTCCACCACAGACAGCTCCTCCCTCTCGCTTGGTCAACATGAACGCTCTGGTGAGTATACTGTACCTCCCTCCCTCCCTGGACAAGGTCTTATGGTTATTGTAATACAGACACATTATTAAACTACGGACGAAAGCGGATGATGCAAGCCTTACCTAACTTAACGTAATCTAACCTTAGCACATTTACCATACCATAAACTTACTCAGTTAACGTAACATAACTTGAGGTACCATTAACTTCGTCTAACGTAAAGCGCCATAACCATAAGTTAACTCAACGTAGACTATTGTAAGGAAGCAGTATCCTACCAGTCATAACCTAACCTAATCTTAATCAAGGAATATGGTGTAACAGTTGTATTCCTGGCACTTTTTTCTTAAAACTCAGTGCGTCTTGACTTGCTTCGTTTTCTTTACACTGCTCTCACGATAACACAAACTGTAAAATTTCTTAGTGACTTGAAGGCTTAAGAGTACAAGATGAAAGTCATATTTACATTCGATAGATCGTGCGTTAGTTGAGTCATGAGTAAAGTAGCACACATCAACCAGTGAGTCTGATCTACTTACATTAGTTTACTCTACAGTAACAATAACCAATTAGCTCAGACCCATAACAGTGCCATGCTGGCTCATAACTACAACAAGTACACATGATAACAAAAACTTAGCTTAAAAACAAAATTTCCTTGTCACAGACGGTGCTATGCCTGGTGGCTGCTGCTGCAAGCTGCAGTAGTCAGCTGAGTTACCCCGGGGTGTACGGTGGCGCGTATAGCGGTTACCCTGGAGTGTATGGCGGCTACCCTGGAGTGTATGGCGGCTACTCTGGAGTGTATGGCGGTTACCCTGGAGTGTATGGCGGTTACCCTTCCGCATCACCTATCAACGCCCTCACACCTTACAACGCAGCTCCTCTTGCCCCTGTATCCCCCGTTCAGTCCAAGTACCACCTTCAGGACGAACTGGGTCAGTACTCCTTCGGCTACGCTGGTGGTCCTTCTACTCGCTCCGAAACCCGTGACGCTTTCGGCAATGTCCGTGGACATTACAATTACATCGACGCAGACGGCAAAGTACAGACCCAGCACTACGTGGCCGACGCCCTGGGTTTCCGTGTGGCCGGCACCAACCTGCCCGTGGCCCCAGATGCCCCAGCACCTGTTGCTCTGGCTGCCCCAGGTCCCCTCCCCGAGCCAGTTCAAGACACCCCTGAAGTCGCCGCCGCTAAGGCCGCCTTCCAGGCTGCTTACGATGAGGCCGCAGCCGCTGCCGCCGCCGCCCCCGACAGCCGTAAGAAGCGCTCCCTCGTGGCTGCACCCGCCCTCACCCCCTATTCCGCTTTTGGTTTCCCCTACGGTTTCACTGGTGCCCTGAACTACGCCCACCCAGGTGTGTTTGGATCTCATCTCGGCTACTCCGCCGCCTACCCGTACGCCACCCTCCGTGATGCTGAGTTGCTCCGTATTATACACAACCCAGGCCACGCTGTCTCCTACCGCGTCGACTAAGCCACTATGTCGGGATCCAGCTGTCTCCTACGCCGTGTTCCAGGTGTCGTAGAGTTCCTGTCGTGGAGGTCGTGATGTATGGCTCACAATGTAACGACATCGAACTTTGATTGATTACACAAATGTCTCCAGTAATCTCATCATGGAGAATTCGATGACAATAGTTGAGGTGACCATCACAACATCTACACCTCCACGGCTTGGTGTTGACGAGCCTCCGCGGTCTGTATATACGTGTTCATGTTGACCTTAATCTTCACATTGCTGTGATCAAGGCGTCGTAGAGCATTAGTACAGAGGATATAAATGGCTGCTAAAGATACTCAATTCATATTTGTAAAGTTCAACACTAAAACATGATTTCTTCAAGAATGAAAACCTGACATTAATCGCCTCTGAGCTGGTGTTGACGCGCCTGTGATCACGTCTACATGTACTGTACTGTAATGACATTTAAAAAAAAGTTAGTTCTTACAATCAATTTCTTTTCTCCAGAATTTATATGTAAAATTATCATTTAAATTGTATCTGTAAGCTACTCATTACAATTCGCAATGTAAATTTCAAATACTCCCCAGTGTTATGTAAATAAAGTATATTTGAAAATAGTTAAATCATTTATTTAATTCCTATAAGTTAAAAATCTATTACAAATGAATCGAAATCATCTGAAGTTCTCAACAGAAAAAAGACTTCGGTCATTACTGTTTCATTAAGAACAGCCATTATGTCTCAATTTAACAAGCTCACGTGAAGATAAGGCATCTTCTCTTATTTTTTCTGACCATTAAATTCTCTGAGGCTGACCTAACCTGCCCTCCCAGAAGGCTTTTAGGTGTTTAATGATCTGGCGACATAACTTGAGGTGCCTAATACTCATGTGATCCCTATACAGTTGAATAGTTATCCTTTCATCTCTATCTATCTATCTATCTACCTTTCATCATGTATACAGAGACTCTCCCTTCTTCATATCTTTTATCTTTCCTCTCTAAGGATAGATTCACCAGCCAAGTCAAGATTATCGAATTATATCCTTTATTTCAAACATTGAGACAATTCCCTCTCCAGGCCTCTCCCCCTCGTGTCATAAACTAGATCACACAAAACATACATTCACGAAATTCGACGCACAGTAAATTTTCAATAAGCTACTGTTATCATAAACTAACATCTACATCTTTCGAGTAGGTTAACAGAAGAACAATGTCCCATCAGAAGGTAGTGTAGATTTTTATGAATAATCTAAAAGCATTTTTTCTCATGACGTCATCAGTCTTTTAGTTTTTCAACAGCATACAATTTACAGTAGACTGGGAAACTTTATCTCCGAATAAAATAACAAAAACTACAGGCAAAGTTCCCTCAACGCTTGACAATATCTGACATTTATTTGTGTTACATGATTGGTATACAGCTGAGTAACAATACTTTTCATTAAAAATTCTATAAATTATGTCATATAACTGAAAAAACTCGGGTGCGACTATAGCGTGCGGTCTAACCTAGCCTAATTAAACCTAAATAACTTGTTGACCGCACGCTACAGTAACACCAAAACTCATTCTATTATAAAAACAAAAAAATTAGAGAATATGCTTAAAATCTCGATCCTTGGGATTTTTGACGACAACGCAATATATTGTATTAGGGAAAGAATATATAATACTAGATATATATTTTGCTAAAAGGTGATATTGCGAAATATGCACATTTCGAAAGGTGCTTTACAACCGACACCTGACGCATACAAAATAAAAAGGAACAAAGAGAAAAGAAAAAGAAAAATATTGTATGGACAGGAAGATAAGAGAGGGGGGGGGGGATAAACCACGAGGGAGGTGGAAAGATAGAATAAAACAGGTATACTGGATAGGAGGGCGACAGGCCCAGAAAGCAACAGTGAACTACGGTGCTTACAGGAGCCTGGTGTTGAGTAACTTGGTGGTCGAACAGTTCCCACATCAAACAGAGCAAGAGTCAATAAGCGTAGTAAAAATACACAACACACTTGGACGCTAACTTATGCGACGTCACACTTTTTCCGTCATTTTCTTGCATAAGTTTTCTAAAAATTTTCATTTTCCTGAACGCGCCGTCACACACGCGTAGAGAACTAGTGCAGCAGTCTTTCCGCGTTCGGCAGTTGTAACCAGATCGCTCAATGTAAGCAAAAATATCAGATGCATTTTTTAATATCAACATCAATAAAAGAAAATACACTTAAAGGTGGCGTCACACTAGCATTTTTACCGTCAACTTTCCCGGTTTCTGTCATTTTTCCGCGAATTGCCTTTTTTTTCAGCCTGTTTCGCTCAGACGAAACTATCGTTTCCGCCAAAGACTTTTTCCGCCTGACTGGATAACTGAATTGCTCCAATTTCTGTGGTCAAGTCAAGATCTATACTCGACAATGAGGATATTTACATAAAATAAATATCGGACCACGTAAAATAAAATAAAAATAATTTCATATTTATTACGTATCGCATTTTCAATAAAGTGATTAAATGTAAAAATCTTAATTGATGTTAATATTCGTAAATCCTATCTGGGTTACTCCACCTCCTCTACTCATTCTGATAAATCATCTACTTTAAAAACTTTCCTGATCCACCGGCAAATTTAATGAACTTTTCAGGTGAGTAACTGAGAAGCTTGTAGCTAACCAGTTTGTATCTAAGATATTTTAATTTCTTCTCTACACTGAAGAGGAAACGTCAGTTAATCAAGAATTCATGTATAAAGCGGTGGCCAGGTAAACTTCGTTTTTGTTTTTTGGGGGGTAAAAAGTGTCTCAATTTTTTTTCCAGTATTCCTCTTCCTTTCTTTGTGTTATTATTATCATAATTTATGGTCTGAATTCACTTGCTCTCTTTTGTTTAACTTTTTTCATATTTCTGAAAATCTTACTTAAAATGTTTGGGTCTTCCTGTACACTTTGACGCATCTCACCACATTCTGGGGAAACTTTCGCTGCGTTTTTTAGTATACAGTATATTTTCTGCGAGGGACTTCTACCCCCTATTGCATTTTCTTCGAATTTAGGGGATCTTTCACTCGTGCATTTTTCCTTAACTTGGGTAATTTTCTCTACTTTGAGACATTTTGTGGCTTTTTCTTTCAATGCGTTCTTAATGGTTGATACCAATTCTTCCTGTTTCCTATTAAGATGCTTTTTTACCTCTTTCTCCAACTGCTGAAGCAAGTTTTTCCCTTTGAATTCTTCCTTAGTATGCTCTCTCATTCGTCCATGTTGTCCACCGCCCTTCAGAAAACAAAATAGCCACAGTGCGTCTCTGTCAGTTCTGAGAAAAAAAAAGTTTCTCTAGGCGTTAATATAAAAATACACGCGTTAATCATCTCACTTTTCAACACGAAGAAAAACAAAGGGTAAACCAGGTAGCTTTAGTAGATAACTTGGTCCTTGATGTAGAAGAGGAACACCATAAAAGAACACATAGATCACCTGATGACTAGCCCCCAGCTTATTTCACCTGATGATTAAACACCCTAATGCTACGTAAGAGTTAGGTTAGATTAAAATAGATATTTAGTAACCCCAGCTTAATTCACCTGATAATTTAACACCCTAACGCTACCTGGGGGGTTAGGATAGGTTATATATATATATATATATATATATATATATATATATATATATATATATATATATATATATATATATATATATATATATATATATATATATACATAATGAGTCAGAGGTGAACTTATAATATCCTTTTCTTTTACTAAACAAACATCTACCTCTGAACAGTGGTGAGTGAGGGTACTGTTTACTAACTTGCCGCCTATTATAGCGTCCTGCAATGATTGTGATTATTCTTATCGCGAATCATCAAGCCTAGTTCTTGATGAATCTCGCTTGTTGTCTCTTTTCTGTGACCATGGTTTACTTAATTCAATATTAAGGTAAGTTCTTTACGATTTTCTATTAGCATTTTATTAAACACAGAAATTAACACGATAATGCACAGAACCTAATAGAGCCTTACCAAGTTACCTAACAAACACTGGGTTTGTTAGGTCAGGTTCTATTAGGTTTTATGCATTGTCGTTTCCATTTCTGTGTTTAATATCATGCTAACAGTGTGTACAAATTTTGTTAACCAAATCGCGCATTTCCTTCTGGTGGTAGCGCTTTCGTAAGCCTTTGCCATATTTTATCTGATATAATAAGCGTAGAACTAATTAAAAATTACCCTGAAGAAGCTACCAGTTGTTGGAGTGAATCCTACTTTACTAAAAACTTCAAGTAACCGAACAATGTTATGTTGACACGTCTACTATCATATATCTGTAATTCAGTATTATACTATATCATTATTTAAGGATAAATCACATCATACTTATAAAAAAATATTGTTTATTGAACAATTGCTCCATGTATAATAAGTGCCTGATATATATATATATATATATATATATATATATATATATATATATATATATATATATATATATATATATATACACATATATATATATATATATATATATATATATATATATATATATATATATATATACACACATATATATACAATATATATATATACATTATATATATACATTATATATATATATATATATATATATATATATATATATATATATATATATAATCTTTGTTTACATAACCACAGATGTGTGAAAGCGAGTCAACACAGGGACCGATGTGGTGGTGATCGATTGCGTCCTCACCCAATGATGTTAGGTAAAGTAAAATAATTTGGGTAAAGTTAGGTTGAAATGCTCAGTATTCCAACCTAAGGGTAAGGTACTAAACCATGGTCCCAGTGCTCTACGTCGCTCCACAATTAGATACAAATTGACTATGCTCTATTTGCTGGTGTCAGGGGCGGCTGCAGCGGCGGCTGCGGCCTCATCGTAAGCAGCCTGGAAGGCGACCTTGGCGGCGGCGACTTCAGGGGTGTCTTGAACTGGCTCGGGGAGGGGACCTGGGGCAGCCAGGGCAACAGGTGCTGGGGCATCTGGGGCCACGGGCAGGTTGGTGCCGGCCACACGGAAACCCAGGGCGTCGGCCACGTAGTGCTGGGTCTGTACTTTGCCGTCTGCGTCGATGTAATTGTAATGTCCACGGACATTGCCGAAGGCGTCACGGGTTTCGGAGCGAGTAGAAGGACCACCAGCGTAGCCGAAGGAGTACTGACCCAGTTCGTCCTGAAGGTGGTACTTGGACTGAACGGGGGATACAGGGGCAAGAGGAGCTGCGTTGTAAGGTGTGAGGGCGTTGATAGGTGATGCGGAAGGTAGGACACCTGAGTAGGAGCCCAAGACACCTGGGTAGGAGCCCAAGACACCTGGGTAAGCGCCAAGCACACCTGGATAGCCCAGCAGTTGCCCGCTGGCGCAGGCAGCCACAACCGCAAAGCAAAGCACAGTCTGTGAAAGGAGGTATAAACAATAGAGATGAGAACTGCAATTTTCATAATTTACATTACCAGTCAGTGATGATAATACATGTTACAGTACAAAAGTACGAAACTGCATTTTATAAGTCGATGTTGCATGGGTTCACCGTACACTATAAAGGTACTGTACAATGCGTGTTACAGTGCATGGGTACATTTCACCGGTGTCACGACAGTGGACTCACCAGTGTGTTCATGTTGACCCACCAGGAAGGAGCTGTCTGATGGTGCAGGTCGTTGGGCGCGGCCTTATATACCCACAACCCTGGCTGAGACAGGGCGGGGCCTAAGGACACACGGAAGGCCAGGGGCATCCTACTGTGTTGCCTCACTCACTGTCTTTAAGTTCGTAGAGGACCTTCACTTTACGTTCTCTCACAACCTCAAGTGTTTTATTATTATTATTGTAGTGGAGCTTCTGTTTGTTTTCTTTTTTGGTGATTTACTGTCTATATTCTATTGATACATGGTTTATACTGGGACCTTGATGCCTGTATTCTTTCACATTAATATTCTGTTGGGATATCAACTGTTTGTATTCTGTTGAGAACTTCACTGTCTGTAACCTGTCGAGACCTTAGAATTCTGTTTCGATATTTTATTGTGCACAGTTTGTTGCTACCTTTACCGTTTATATATTTTTAGGACTTTTACTATCTATAATCTGTTGGAATCTTAATTGTTCTTACTCTGTTTAAGGTTTAAGGTGTAAAAGCTGTTGGGATTCAGTTGGGACATTAATACAGTATTATCGTGAGGTCTTCATATGAACTATTATTATTCTTTGGATATATTACGATTTTCCTGGGATCTTCACTGTCTTTATCCTACTTAATAACTAGGAACATTTTGCTATTTAAAAACTATTATTTATCAAGAGTTGTAGTTTCATTGAGCAACTAAATTTGTTTTGCTTGGAAATAAAATACCACGATAATTAATGGTTGTAATATCTAAGTCAAGTTGTGCAAATATGGGAGCTTTTATTGAAGCATATTTCGTATATCACTGTAGTTACCAAAGTATACTGTACGTGTCTTCATGACTGTAGTGTTAACAGCTAGATGGTAAGTTTTCTTAGGGATATATATGATTCAACGAGAAGTGCTTTTTTTTTGGGGGGGGGGGGGCTTCTTTTAGCCAACCACAGGCACTGAAAGCAAGGTGAGTCATGCTTCACTACTAACATACTCAACTCATCAGAGGCTTCACTTCAGTGTTATATTGTCTCCTCCGACGAGAACACACAATAACTGAGCTGTGTCAGAGGTAGATAGAGTTGTGTATAATGTAATTAATAGTTTTTATTATGTATGATTTCACGGGATTTTTTGTGATTACATATTAATTGAAAGTGAATTGAAACATTTTATTTAGCCAGAAAAATACAGATACAGAGTGGATAATAATAACAATATGAACATGGCTGAGCCAGTTGAGAACCTGAGCTCTCTTTGAGGCACCTGTTATATCTCAAGGAAGTATTATGACATTTAGTATCATCTGGAATAGAACAATAGCATGGTAGTAATAAGTACATCTCATAATGTTACCACGGTTATCACTTCAATATATATATATATATATATATATATATATATATATATATATATATATATATATATATATATATATATATATATATTCATAATGTTACCACGGTTATCACTTCAATATTTATTTATTTTATTTATTATTATATTTATACAAACATATACACATATATACATATATATGTATATATATATATATATATATATATATATATATATATATATATATATATATATATATATATATATTGTTACGCCGTCTCTTAATTTACTTAAATATCCAGGTTCTAGGCGTAACCAAACAAAAATGTGGAGTAAATTAAAAGGGAATAAAAATAAATAAAGTAAACCTTTAAGAATTTAATTAATTAAATATCAACACAATATGGAGCCTCGTAGGCTGTCACAACAAATTGATTCACCATCGAAACTTTTAAGACACAAATGATACCAAACATCGAAACATCAAAAGAATAAAAATAAAGCATTGGATTACGTTAACACTGCATAAACATATAAAACTAACACTGAAATTAACTAACGTGAAACAACACTGAATTACTTAAATGTAACGAAGCAAATACTGATGGACATAAATAGAGACATAAATAGGTACTCACATAGATATACCACATTGGTGGCAAAAGGAACAACACAAATAAATTAAGTATAAGTAACAGGTCACGAGTGTCACTCAAAGGATGTGGACTGTATGACAAGAGGACTGAACTGCCTCTGTCTACAGGTGGAGTACTATATATACTGTATATATAGTCGGTTCGCGCCAAGCGACCAGCCGGTGAACATGGGTCGTTTAACGATGCAGATGGTCGTTAGAGCAACAAAGAATGCTTGTTACAATACTAAATGAAGAAATAAGATGGGCTTGAACAAATAATAACAGTTAAAACCTTAACAGCACAGGGTAAGGCGACTAGATATAATAGTAAATTTAACACATCATTACAGGAATAATGTGGAACAACATGGGAGCATGTTATATATAAAAAAATAGAAAAATACGACACGGTCGTAACAACACTATATATATATATATATATATATATATATATATATATATATATATATATATATATATATATATATATATATATATATATATATATATATATATATATATATATATATATATGTTACGCCGTCTCTTAATTTACTTTAATATCCAGGTTCTAGGCGTAACCAAACAAAAAAAGTGAAGTAAATTAAAAGGGAATAAAAATAAATAAAGTAAACCTTTAAGACACAAAGATAAAACATCGAAAAGACACAAATGATACTAAACATCGAAACATCAAAGAACTGCTTAAATATATAGAATAAAAATAAAGCACTGGATTACGTTAACACTACATAAACATATAAATAACTAACACTGAAATTAACTAACGTGAAACAACACTGAATTACTTAAATGTAACTAAGCAAACACTGATGGACACATAAGAGACATAAATAGGTACTCACATAGATATACCACATTGGTGGTGACAGGAACAACACAGAAATAAAATGAAGTATAAGTAACAGGTGACAAGTGTCACTCAAAAGAAGTGAACTGAATGACGAGAGGACTGGACTGAACTCTGTCTACAGGTGGAGTACTATATATAGGGTCGTTTCCCGCCAATGCGACCAACAGGTGAAACATGGGTCGTTTAACGATGCAGATGGTCGTTAGAGAAACAAAGAATGCTTGTTACAATACTAAATGAAGAAATAAGATGGGCTTGAACAAATAATAACAGTTAAAACCTTAACAGCACAGGGTAAGGTGACTAGATTATATAATAGTAAATATAACACATCATTACAGGAATAATATGGAACAACATGGAAGCATGTTATATAAAAAAATAGAAAAATACGACACGGTCGTAACAATATATATATATATATATATATATATATATATATATATATATATATATATATATATATATATATATATATATATATAATATTCAGAAATTTCAGTGTAATTTCAAACGCCGCGCCATTGGCGATACTGAGTTTTCAAGGTCGTCTGAGGGAAGAGAGCGCTCCCCGGACACATAGCCAGAGGTTGTGGAACTAGGCCTATATGAGATTAAATATAATTTGCCGAATTAATAATGATGCGATTCATGAAGTTAAGGGACTATTATTGAATTTGAAATTATTATAGATCGTTTATCAGCCTGAATAGTGTTACGGGTGTCCCAAGGAGTTATTAGTTAGGCGGAAAATATGTCACGTAGGCCTAAGCTAACGCCTTGAGAGGACACGAGGCAGGCTCTCTCTCAGTCAAGTGAAAGCCATCTGACCTACAGGACATCCCTGCGCGCCCGTCACAGAAATAGTCACGTGGCCTAGTCACCTGTGTTGCACTATGGCAGTATAACAAGTAAGTCTCATTCGATCTCAGACAGGGTTTAGATAGGGCAGTGATAAAGTTAACAAGAGCTAACAGTGAGTTCATTTCAGGGTTTCCCTTAGAACCCACTTGACTGCGAGAAATTGACTGTGAGAGATTGACTGCCGTTTGATGATTGAGGATTGGCGATTGTCGCCGTTGGACCGATCAGTGTAGGCCTGTCACTGTTTAGCGGGGTATCAAAGGATCTCTTGAGTGAATCTAGCCGTCTGGGTGCCCAGCTGACGACGGGACGATCATTGGGGTCATCAGCTCTCCTCTACCTCGGCTCACAATACCACATATCTCAAGCAGCTTAGTGAAACCCTTTTGCTAACGGGAAGCTAAAGCTTCTCTCAACTGTACAAGGTCTGATTGGCTCACTCCCTTCCGCTCCATGGATGTACTGGGGGTAAAGTGAAGCCAGCTGAGTGATACAGGGCCGCACACTGGGGCCAAGAATCAGTGGAGGTTAGAGGTACACTTTCCAAGGTGGAGAAAGGCTGATTTGGGCCTTAAACTACGGGTGCCTGTTGGTTGTGCCTTAAACGACTACGGAGTGCAGGTGGAATCTGTGTGTGTGTTAGGTTAGGAAGCATGGTTCACGGGTATTGGTGGACTCAGTAACTTCTTAATAATAGTGACAATATTTTTGTGTGTAGTTAACACTATTTTTTCAGTTACTAATGTATGCTGTGTGCATTTAATATTTCTTTATAATCTCAATCTCCGGTATAACCTTTGTTCCCCAGAGTAGTGTTTAAGTTAGGTTAGGAGGTGTGTATCTGTTGGGGTAATATAATTTTGTTGAGCGCCCTGAAGGCCTTTTCAGGGTGGAGTTAATAAGCTCTGATTTTTATACCATTTTCTCAGTGCTGGATATAATTTTGGTGAGTGCCCTTAAGGCCTATTCATTGTAGAGTTATTATTTTCTTATTTTTTTAATACCATTTTCTCAGTGATTGATATTTTGTTGAAAGCCCTTAAGGCCTGGTTCATGTGTGCAAGCAACATTTCTTAATACTTTACACTTATTGTCCTCTAATGAGGTTCTAATAATTTCAACATCATGTATAACTTTTATTCCCCAGAGTAGTATTTTAAGTTCAAGTTAAGAAGTGGGCATATTGGTGTACCATTATTTGATTGTGTTTGTAGTGTTGGAGGGAATATAAGTGTAAATTTTACAGTGTGTCTCATTCATCCCAGTCACAGACGCTATCCTTCCACGGGTCACGGACAAGTCATTTTG